CTTTCTTCTGCTTGCCCTTTCCTTGGCCCTTCTCGGAGGCAGCCGGAGCCGAAGCGGCTCGGCTTTTGCCCGGGGATCGTGACCGGGACTTCAGCCGACGCGTCTGCCTTGGCGCTTCGCTGGATTCCTCTGGCTTGGATCCTGGTCCACGGAATCGCTCCTGGTGCTCCTCAGTCGAGCTCTTGAACCAGGCCATGCGTTCCTCCTTGGTCTTGCCTTTCTTCTCAGGAGGTGGAGGTGTCTTGGCGACGCGCCTTTGCTTTGGCGTCTTTGGGCCAACCTCATCTTCCTCCTCCTGCTCTTCCATCATCTTCTGCATATGGGCAGTCATGTAGAAAGGTGGTCCTTTCTTGACGGTCTCAAGCTTTGGATCTTCCATCTTCAAATGCTTTGCCACATCTTCGGGCTTCAGATCCATGTCGGCATCTTTCACATGCTTCGGCGCATCTTTTGAAGTTGGGCTGCCTTGCTGTCCCTTGGCAGTCTTGATGCGCTTTCCCATCTCTTTCTGCTTGATCGTCCATTCCTTTGCCCACTGGTTGAGGACTTTTGGCGGGCAACAATTCAAAGCCATATGGTGGTTCCATAGGCCGGTGTCATTGTCACACCTCAGGGCCTTGTTGCACGCACGGCAGACCATGTTCTTGCTGCCATATCTGTTCTTGTGGGTGCATTTGGCTACCCATTCATCATAGCTGAGGATGCGCTCTTGGAACATGTGGTCGAGCCATGGCACGGTATCTTTCTCTTTTTCTTCTTCTTGTCCATCTGACTCCTCGTCAGCTGGCTCAGTGCCATTCTCATCCTCTTCAACTTCACCTTCAAACTCTTCTTCTTCTTCGAGTCCCTCGATCTCAGTCACATCAAGGGGATTGATGTTCTCCATAACTGGAGCTGCGAAGGATGGTGCGCTTGTTGCTCCTTCGCCTTGGCTTTCGACGCGCTTCGTCACAACATAGTCCTCTGGGTTGAACCCAGCTGCAGTGAGCGCCTTGTCGATGACACTGCGGGCTGGATGGCTAGTAGCCGTCCATGTCTGGCTTTCCCGCTTCATCTCTGCCAACTCTTGAGTGGAGAGATCTTCGAACTTGGGTTCCTTCTCTTTTGGCTTTTCAGGCTTCTTTGCCTTTCCTGGCTTCTTGTAGCCACGATGCCTCTGGGCCTTTTCTCGACCTCGAGGCTGAGGGGCTTCATCAAACTTTCCTTCATCATCTTCATCATCCCAAGCTTGAAGTCGACCAGTACCCTTGGCACGAGCGATCTCATAGTAGTCGAGCTCCTCAGGGTAATTGGCCTCATAGTCGCGCCAGGATTCGAAACGATCCTGGGCCTTCTCAACGCGATGCTGCTCGGCGCGCTGACGGCTCTTCTCCTTCTTCTTGGCCAATCTTGGGTCCATGCCTGATGCCAAATCAGCTGAGAGCCTTGGCGACTCCGCCGGAACCGAAGCGGCGCGGCGAGGAGTTGGCCTCTTCAGCAAGATCTTGGCTTCTCTCTCCTTTTCTTCATACTGTTCTTTCAGCCTCTTCATCTCGGCCTGTTGTTCCAAGATGGCGTCATTGGCTGCTTTGCCTTTGGCTTTGGCCTCTTCGATGGCCTTCTGGATTGTCTCAGACTTCTTCTCATACAGCTCGCGATTGGACTGCATGGTCTCTTGGATTGCTTGGTTCATGACTGCAATCCCAGCAGCTGCAATTCCAGGACGACCTTTTCCAGCTCCTGGCTTCTTTGGCATAGCCTTGACTTCAGTCTCAGCTTTTGCCTTGGCTGCTCCACGAGAAATTGCGGCAGGTGCTGCTTTCTCCATCTCGATGGCAAAGAGGGTGGCGATGTCAGCGGAATACTCAGGCTCGGGTTGATGCTCTTGAGCCATAGAGGTTTCAGATTCCTCAACTGAAGCTACCTTCTTACTCTTACTCTTGCCTTTACCTTTAGAGTCTTTGCCTTTGCCACCTTTGCCTTTACCCTTGGAGTTTTGGTTGTACCAACTACTCTTGTTCCAATCATTCTTATACCAATCGTTCTTGTTCCATGAGTTGTTCCATGACGAGGGACTGGACCATGAAGAACCTTTTCCCTTCTGTTTACCTTTGTCGTTTCCCTTGCCTCCATCTTGACTCTTTCCTTTTCCTTTGCCGCCTTTTGAGCCACCTTTGCCTTTTCCTTTGGCTTTAGCCAGACTTGCAAGTGAAGCTTGCATCTGGCTGGCAGCTGCGGCTAGTGCGTCAACATCCATTGGTGCTGATCCAGTCTTTGCTTCTTTTCGGCTCTCGATGTTCTCGAGGTAGGCCAAAATCTCTGACTTCATGATGGCATAGTCAGTGAGTCTCGAACTCTGGAGATCAAGGTGATCTTGAAGTTTGGCTGGACACATCTGCTGAAGACAACTTCTTGCGATGTCATCATCAAGAGCTTTCTTCTTCCGCTCTTCATACTTTCGCCTGATGTTTTCCCAGGCTTCTATGCTCTCTCTGAGCTTGTCCAATGCACACTGTTGTGGGTGCAGGACCTTCTTCAGCAAAGCTGAGTTTGCTTGTGGGTTCTGTGGATCATACTTGGTGATCAATCGTCTCAATGCCTCTAGGCCAAAGTGCTGACCTCTGGAGGTATTCTTGACAATCTCGAGGGCTTCCCCCTCACATAGTGAGATCAGAGCCTGTCGGGCCTGAGCTGAAACAAGCTCGGCTCCTTCAGGATAATCATCTTCCAGAGATGTCTCATTGATCTCTGTGTCTTGATGCTCTTCGAGGAGCTGAATGCACTTTCCTGCATTCTTGTGACTTGTCTCAATCCAAGTCTTGAACTTGAAGTACCATGAATCCCAGGTACCTGTGTGTCCACTGAACTTGTCAGGCTTTGGAATGCCTTTCAACTCTGATCTGTCTCTTACTTCTACGCTAGTGGCTATGTTCCTTGTGATTGCCGTTTGTTGTGTATATGCTTCTGCCATTGCTCGTTGCAATTGGCTCTGCCCCTGTGCTAGGGCTTGCATCATCTGTGCAAATTGTTGTGCCATGTCTGTGGCTTGTGGTGCCTGTGCTCCTGGCTGTTGCGCCATGTTGACTTGCTAGCCAGGGATTGAAGCAATCCGGCTTTCCTGCAAGTGATGCTTGTTTTGTGGATCTCTGGTGCCAGAGCCGATGCGACTCGGCGACCTTCGATTCGCAGACGGTAGCCGGGTCTTAGAACCAGGCTCCGCTACCATGAACGGAGAATTTAGGCTCTTAAACTCTGTGACCCCAAGTCACTGTCCCAAAGGTTGTAGTAGAAGCTTAGGCCCACTTTTAGCTCCACTCCAAGCGTGAGCTCTGGTAGTGAAATGAACACAAAAGTAAACCACAAACGGCTGCAGTGAAACATACATCTATACAAGCTATGTCATGTACATGTAACTGGTGCTACATCTGATCAATATCAGCACCAATTATATTTAATATACGTATACATAAATATATATGTGTCCTCATCTTCGTGGTCCGTGAGAAATTCCAATGCAACAGAACATGTGAAGATGACGGAAGGCATGATTGCATGGCGATGATAATGGTATGAAAATCTCCGGCTGCAGGCAATGTTTGGTCCCAGAACCTTTCACCTTGTCGATGAGCCGTTGGTAGGTCATCCGATGACAATATTGTGAAACCGATTAAAGCCGATGATAATGTTAAAGAATAGAATACTTAAAAATCTCAAAAGTATTCAAATGTAAGGACTTATGAGGGCCATGAATCGAGAACCATGCCAAAGACTACCCGGAGAATAGGGAGAACGTTGATTGAACGCAACGCCTCCACAACATGTCCCCAGTTCCGATGTGCTTAATGATGAACCGATTGACTTGGCCGTATTCCGCTTCATGAGACTGCCCAGAGCTGCCAAGGCACTCAAGGTACATTCGTAGTCATCAGGTCGGGAGTCCAACACGCGCTTGTAGTACCGTATGGCCTCCTGCTGGAATCTTGTCGAAGAGTATGTTCACAGATGTCCAGCTGACACATCACTCAGCGTGATCAAACTTGTCAAATCTATTCTTCGGTCCTGTTCTCGTCCAGCTTTTTTGTAGGATTCAGCCTTTGTGAATCAAAAGGCAACTACACAGCAAGAGCAAGCACCTCTTGCAGCCTAAGCACACAGCATTCTTCCTGTTACTCTTCCTAAAGCTCAGCACTGGGCTAGGGCAATCATTGCAGGGACATCGAGAGCGCTGGGCTGGAGCACTGCAACCTCAACCGACTGATTTAGCTGGACGAGATGTGATGAGGTCCGTATACTCCGTCATCAGGTCATATCAGGTCCATCTGTATATCACATATCGGAAGACCATCCTGTCTCCTGGAACGGGCAAAGCCCCCCCTCGAGTCCGAATAACGGTCTTCTGGACCAAATATAACACGGTACGGCAGTAGCGGTGGGTCAATCAATGCCTTCATCCAATGGGCGAATGAATGTGACATGTAAATCTGGCTAGACCGAACAGGTCAAGGTGTGGCCAGTCACATATAGGGGTGTCAAGATGTTTGATTCATGAAATTGAACTTCGCCGCTACAGGGTTTTGCTTAGCTAGACCTTAGTTGGTTTGCTTCGTTCAATCATACAGGCCTGTTCCAATGCTCGAACAGCTTCATCAGCCCTGGCAAAGCTGGAAAACAGGCCACTAGCCAACACAGGTCTCGAGATCCCCAATCAACTTGCAGTGCAAGCAATGACCCATGGAACATGCGTCTGGAGAAAAGAGATTGCTTTCTTCCAGCTGTGCGGTTTAAAGCTTCGGATAGTGGATCAGTGTAACTTGTCAAAGGGGCCACTGCGGAAAACTTCAAAAAGAATCCTATACTGACAAATGCCATCCTCTCTCTCTCTCTCTCTGTTGATCGACGCAAAAAAAACATGTGCATCAATTTGTTGCAACACATGGTTAAGTTCCCTTGCCTTTCGGTTCCTTATCCCAAATCCTTAAATCATGGACATGTGGCAGTTCCCAAATAAAACAACAACTCTATCAATAGACATCAAACAATCCAGTGCGCTTATCTTGACTCAAGTTGCCACAGGTCTGCAAGTCTGCAAACGACGTCGGATGGTGGGGCCTTCCCAACTTTGAGCTTGCATGGCCCAAAGAGAGATGCGCTGCCGCATCGCGAGGGGCCACCTTCACAGCCTCTGACTCTATCCGCCGGCGTGATCGGTCGAATCGTCCAAAAAGTGGCCGCGGATCGCAGCAGCTCCGTTGGAGAAAGTCTTAGTCAACGAGCTCTGAATCAACTGAAGCGAAGAAGGTCAAAGCGAAGAGCTTTCGAGTGCTTTCGGTGTCAAACAAAATCCACACACCGCCTGCAGCGCTATGCGGTAGGCTTCCTGGGCATCATCCGCCTGAAGGAACATCTTGCTCCAATAGAGAAGCCATCGCTTGACCGCTTGCTTTCACAGAAACATCTCATCCAGGTTCAAGAGACACCCTGACCCTTCCGATTGAATCCATTTTCTGCTGCCTCCTGTGCAAACTCTGCCAGTCGAAGGTGAGCTTCAGCACTACTTGGGTGGCTGGACACCACCTGCACTGGGCAAAGGCACCCCTTTTGGCATCGCATGGTTTCACAATAAATCGACGAGTTGGTTGCATGATGTTGCATGCCGTATGCCCCTATCGGATCCTACGAGTATTCCACTCTCCAACTTTTTGCAAGCATGCATGTATAAAATAGTATATATTATGTAACGTACTGTATACAGTATTGTTATATATATATATATCATTGCCCATCTTTGATCTTGGCACTGATCTTGGCATATCATGGCAACCGCACAATTGTGTGGCTCGTCCGTGGGCTTAAGACCTCGTCCGACACCGCGACACCGACGTCCACGACCGGAAATCTAGCTCCGATGCCCTGCCTGCTCATAAAGCTTCCTTGCCTCAAGGTTTTGTGAGATGTTGTGAGTCACATCTTCAAACATGCCAATGTATGTCCTGCTGCGAACACACACAGGTCAATTGCCTCCTACAAGTATCACATCCAAACATATCCAAACTGATCAACTTTCATGATTCATGAGAGTTCAATCGAGTCTATCCTTCTATACTGTCATCATACTACTGTAATATATTATAATCTATGAATCTATGATATATAGTCATATTATATCACCCACAGCTGCGCCTGGGCTTTGCCTTCTTTCCGCTGTGACAACACGCGCGCAAGGCCCAGCATCGCCGTTTCATCACCAGCCTAGAGGGTTGACAGCGTTGGCAAGTGTCGTGCTTGGGTGGGATCAGGTCTCCTTGTCTCTGATGGCTCCAAGTTTGCATTCCTTCTTGAATTGTTGTGTCACAGTCAAACAGCGGAGCAGCGGTCATCCCATCTCTCGATCTATTGTCATCCCAATACTTTCACGAACTGAAAAGGCTCGAACAGCGGAGACAAAAGGGCTTCTCCCTGGCACCTTCGAGCTCAAGGCAGCAGAGAAGTGCTTCTCCGCAGTGGCAAAGTTGCGCTCACCCTGCGAGGAACTGATCACATTTCAGTGCAGTTGCTATGCGGTTACTGTGCAAAAACAGGGATGAATCGCTTGGCTATATCCCATTATCAGTAACAGTGGTTGACGATCGTTCTAGCAAAGGCCATTAAAGTGGCCTGTCGCAAAAATAGTGATAACATGCCAATGTTTCATCGACTGTTCCTGATAATGGGACACACCCTATGAATAGCATGTTCTTTCCCAGCTGTCGCGATTCCATCCGTGCCTCTGCTGCCTTTCCCAGGTATGCGTGCAATTCATAGCCCAGGGTAAAGCCAGAGGCCTCCCAGGAGAGAGGCATACTGGATGTCCAAGCTGGAGCAACCTATTCAACAAATTTCAACTACGTGTTCGTGTAATATCTTAGTCTTGGAGCCTCATCACCATATTCCATTGCTTGTCGAGCGTACCTCAAGAGTCAACATCATCGTCCAGCTGAGCCAAGCGTCCATCATTGTCCGAAAAAAGTGATGCTGGAGCTTCCAAGTACATACTTCAAGTCCCCAAGTAACAAGCTACTAGGTGGAGGCCATTGCTATTCGGTTGGAGGCCATCACTACTAGTAGCTCCTGTTTCTTTTTTTGGGTCATGACGAGTGCACTGGACTCTTCAGAATTCACATGAATTCGCACTTGCTCCAAGTGCATGTCGGGTCAGTGGGTCACTCTCGAATCTCACGGGCATCCCCATCTATGGACCTCAGCAGCCGCTCTTAGCATTCGCAATGCTTGGAGACATGCCACTCGACTCGACATGTTAACAAAATATCTGTTGGGGCGTGTTAGACTCTCGTACGTAATTCAATTCTAATTTAATCCTATATAATTCGACTCTAATTCAAACACTAATCCCTTTCATTTTAATAGTCATGTTAATAAAGGGTCATGTCATTTATCTTTTAAATACTTTCTTAGAATCTGGATACACTTTATTCAGGCGCGCCCTATTTTCCGGGAAAAAGAAACACCACCCCTGTTTATTAATCAGAGGTTTTGTGCCATGTATTGGCTCTTTCAGCACCCCCAAACAAAAGCCCTTGGATCTATCCTCTTTCAGGTGCCATAGCTTCCAATTTGGAGATTGGTAATATGGGCTGGTGCTCAACTGGAAGCATTCCGTGATTTGTGCACCCAGGTAGATGTGTGGAAGGCAACAGAGCGGAAGAAAGCATGCCTTTCCAAGGCTTCTGTATTTCACATGGATGGGTAGCGATGGGAAACTCTTCAACAACCTTCAGCCTGCTGAGCAGAGTCTTATCCATCTGCAGTGCAGCTAGCAATGAGTCACGTTTCGCTTTTAACCGCTGCAGCACCGCATTTACTAATGCTTGGCACGAAGCCGACTCGAATCCTTGCTCAAGCTCCTGCAACACTAGGTAGCAAAGTGTTCATTGGTACTTTCAAGAGAACCCCTGGATGAATCTAAGCAGACGAAAACCATGCTTGCTTGAAGCATCAGCGTTGACAAGCCCCCCTGGGCTTCCCTGCAAAAGCGCGCGAGCTGCACATCGCAGTGCAACAGCCTCAGCGCACATGAAAGCACCAAAGCATTGTAATATGATGTTTGCCACTCTGACTCTGCTGGAAAGTAAACATGTCACATGACATGTGTGTGCGACTCATCTCCGTACTAATAGTGTCTATACTATCGAATACTATTTCTGGTCAGTACAGTACTCATTCCACGTCTAATGCCATTCTGCATGCATGCCATTCTGGCAACTTGAACGGGCAGTAAAGAAGACAAATTGTTCAAATCCAGGCACAAACATGCACAAACAAGGCCACAAAAAGAACAACTTGTCCCCGCTTCTTCCAGACTGAGAAAAGCCGTGCAATGAAAATTCGCTACTGAGGTTGCTTCCCGGAACAAAAAAGTCCACTCTCATTGAATATTATCATCCTTTGTCACTGTCTCTCCTTGATCCGGTGTCTACCGCTGGACATCTTGATGCCAGACATCTTCAGGCTTTCGTCGAAGAGTTGCTTTTGCACTGCTCAATACCTGGATTTGTATCTCTTCAAGCATTGGCAGTGTTGCAAAAAGAATGGAGAAATAGAATGACTGGGCATTAAATGAGGTGCAACAAATTGTTAAGGTGCTTCAGCAGCGCAAAACTTCAACCACTAGTTTGGTGTGTCATACCCAAAATGCTTTCTGGCTTGATTGAAGAGCACCTTTGCGATTGTAAACTCGAACCTGACAAAATGCCCGGCCTCTCGCCATTGCTCAAATGACCCAAGTCCACCTGACAGGCCTCGGTGCAAAGAATAACTCAACATGGCAAACATCATGGTACATCCACTGACTGCTGAAATTAGCATGTTCCGGCAAGCTGTAGGTACGAGAATTGTATTGTATGGAATTGTGGACGTTAATTAGATGATAGTAGCGATGCCAGGGGCCCCTAGTAGCGTCCTTGCTCCTAGTAGCGATGCCAGGAGCCCCTGGTAGCGTCCTTGCTCCTAGTAACGATGCCAGGAGCCCCTAGTAGCGTCCTTGCTCCTAGTAGGATAATTGAGCCCTGATATAGCGTGGGTTGACTCTGAAATGCAGATCCTTTGCAGTTGACTCTGATTGTTTGCACGGAGAACCTGTCCATGCCTCGACGCCAGAATCTCTGGGTCGGCCCGACCGGAGGCGCGTTCGGCACGGCGGAGAAGCCGCTCAAGGGCTTCACCTCACCGGGCGAAGGAAATCATTGGCTTTCGAACAGAAAGGGGATTCATGACATGTATATAGAGAGAGAGATATGATGCATTCCAGAAATAGGAACTAGGAACCCTAGGAACCCCCAACAAATCAGCTTTAGCCACTGTAAGTCTAAGACCTTTCTTTGCAAAGTTGGAGACAAACCGGCATGCGAGCCACCCCCCCCACCACCGGGTTCGGAATGCATTTGTGGACTTGGAAACACAACACTGGCCCATAATATTAGGTTGCGGGGCCAAGCCCCCCCAAAGTTCATCATTCACAGCCATCTTGCTGGTGCCCACCATCCTTCGCTTAACGATTACCATCTACCTGCAAAGTACTGTGAAACATTTGAGCTTGCTGTCCTACAGTCAGCCACCATGTCTGCGCAACTATGTAATCAACCCAGCTGGTTGCGCGCGCAAACACACACACAACACCACATGATGAAACAATTGTAACAGTAACAGCAGTAACCATGCAACACCAAGCAACTGGTAACCACACAGTTCAATGCAAAAAAGGCACCGAACACAAAAAAAGAGCCAAAAGCAGTGCCTGCATCTGTTCCATCCTCAGTCCTTCAACTTTGAAGTGGTGAGCTTACTTGTTGACAAAGCACCTCCTCTACCGTTCTACTGTTTTCCCATTCTGTTCAACTGGAATAAGATGGAATAAGTAGCACCATGTAGCACCTCAATCACCATCAATCTCTTGAGCCAGTGTCCTCAAGAACATCATCTTGGGCCCTAAACGCCAAGTCCAATTCTCTTTTCGCTGTCCAGGCCCTCGCCGCTCAACTCACGCAGAGTTGCCCCCAATCACTAAGCCCCCGAACTCGGGAAGCTGTGTCGTCTTGACACTGAAACTGCTGAAGACAGGATGGCAGAATGCCCGAGTATTTCATACAGGCACAGGGCAGCCATCTCATCATCTTCCCTACCAAATCCCAAGCTTGCTGATCAGTTTCACCATGTTCCACCACACAAGCAATCTTTATATATATATATATGCATATATATATATATGTAGAAAGGTTGCACCTGTGGGTTCATAGCATCTATCTTCACGGTCGGTGGGGTTAGGCCTTGGAGTCTCATTGTAGCATTGATCAGCAAAGGGGCAGTGCTCAATTGAAATGCTCAGTGCTGATTTCCCTCATGCGCCAAAGCATTTGTCAATCCCGGCAAAGTGATGTTCAGCTGGCTTGATGTGTGACAATGTGTGAGATGTTGCATGTTATGTCACTTTGATTCCTGTAAGAAGTTGGTCGCATATTTCATCAACATGTTGGGTAGGCTCCCAAGTGCGGCCCGAGGCCCGTCCCATTCAGCGAAAGGACGTGTTGCCGTAGGGGCCCCCCGAAGTGGCAACCTAGGTCAGGTGACTTGGAAAAGAACTCCTAAGCCTAAGCCTCTTAAGCCCACTGGATATGGCTCCCTAAGTAAGAGGGGGTTACCCTGTTGAGCCAAAGGTCTCTAACGAAAGCTGTGAGCAAAGTGGAAGGCCCACTCGATCTCCAAAACTTGCTGCCAATTTGGCTCCGAGTGGATTTGGGAATATGAATGGACAGCTGGCCTGATGGATCCAGTATTATGAGATCTTATTGCAGCTACTCCTACTTGCCTGCAGATTCAAAGAATCTAACACCATTATGGCTTAATTCATCCTATTTAATATATGTATATAGAACGATCTTGACATATCTGAGCAAAATACACTACGTTTAATTCCCAACGCGACCCACGGAGCGAGACCGCCGAGTGACCACCGGCTCCACCGGGCGCAGGTGCTGAAGTGTCACTGAAGGCGGTCATCGAGAAGGGCGAAGCAGCAGGGGCGACACCTGCAGGACCTGACCGTGTGAATGAATCTCCATGCATGGACCTCATGGTGCTTGAAAATCAGTGTCGTCCGTGCATGTGAGGGTTTGGAACTCTAAACTCTTTGAACATTGAAAAGCGTATAGAATACGTTTCAACACTGTCTGTCAATGGCCTGAAGAATCACTCCACGGGCTGGGAAACGCAGTCGCACAGCAATAAGGTTATGATGATTAGCTTCTAAGCTCCAGATAGTTCACATGTCTCGCCTGGCACGCCACCATACCCACCCCCTTGCTGCTGCTGCGGCTGCATGGCATGCATGGTCTGCGGCTGCATAGCTGGCTGCTGCATAGCCTGCTGTTGCATGCCCTGCTGTGGGACGCCTATCTGGTGCATGCCTTGCTGAGGCATACCCTGTTGCTGCATGCCTTGCTGCGGCATTCCCTGGTGCGGTATCGCTTGCTGTGGCATCCCTGGCTGATGCATCCCTTGCTGCATTCCCTGCATTGGCATTCCTTGCTGAGCCTGTTGTGGCAACATCTGTTGCTGTTGCATTTCTTGTCGAGGCATCATCTGCTGTTGCATCATTTGCTGCGGCTGGGGCATCATCTGTGGCATGGTCTGCTGGAAATTCTGCTGTGGCATGCTCTGCATATTCTGGTGCACAGATTGTGGAAGCAAAGATTGCCCTGCTTGAGGTGTGGCCTGGAACCTGAGGAAAACAGCAAAACAATCTGGGTGTGTGGACCCTCTCAACAGAAAAACACACCATTCTCCAGCCCCGGGCCTCATGTTGTTCGCCTGACAAAGGCTGCTCGGATCCCAGCCAGCGCTTTTGTGTTTTCAATGACATGTAAGGGTGTTATGATGTGGTCATCTCGAGTGGAGGTCTTGTCCAGAAGCAAATTCAGCAATTCGAACATCTAGTTGAGAGCTGCACATGGCTAGTGTTATCGCCTTGAAAACTCTTGAAAGTACACTGCGGACCGGATCTAGGGATCTCCTTCTGCAATAAACCAGCTATCTGCTTCACATTCTCGTTCGTTGCGTCGATTTCTGCGGTAGCGAGATCAATGAAAGTCCCCGTAGTGATAATCGCCACTATGTTCAAGTCTCCGTCCAGAGTGTCTGTCAATCGTGTCTGACTTGGCCTGATGTACTTCCATGCCGGCACGGCTCCCATGCCAACAGCAGCCACCACACTGGTCTTTATATGTCTTTATAACCACTGGCTAGTGTGGAACCGTGTGCAGTATTCTTTCATGATCCACTGGTTATTATGAGGATGAAGGCCATTGCTATTAGGTTGGAAGTCATCGCTATTAGGTTGGAGGCGATCGCTATGAGGTTGGAGGAACTCACTATCCGGTTGGAGGCCATCGCTATTAGGTTGGAGGCCATCGCTATTAAGTTGGAGGCCATCGCTACTAGGTTGGAGGCCATCGCTATTGGGTTGGAGGCCATGACTATACGGTTGGAGGCCATCGCTATACGGTTGGAGGCCATTGCTATTAGGGAAAGGCCCTACAAGCATGTTTCATTCTACAGTATTCATTCTATATAAAGTATCTTGACCAAGGCCAAAAAAAATCAACCCGTCCACTGACCCTGCCTGTGGAGCTGAGCCAGGCTTCCCTGGAAAGGGCAAAATCAACGTGTCTGCAGTCTGCAGTGCAAAACAAACCAAACAAAAAAACAATCTATATAAACCACGGGAACAGAAACAATCACCACATGTCCTGCACATCACGTCACCATTTTTACAGCATTATGGCTATATGATCCAACGCAGCTCCTGGTAGGAAGGACAGCTTGGGTATCTGTGAGATCAGCTTGGGTGATGCTTTGGTTTGCTAACAGATGCTAACAGTCAAACCTCTTCAAGTCATGTGCAGGTCCTACCCGAAAACAAGCTTGTTCTTGCCAGTTCTGCTGTTCTCCGTCCCGGTGCCTCCTGCAGCCTTCACCAATTTGTCTGTGAGGGCAAGGTGGACAGTCGCCACCTCACTACAGAGTTGCTGCTGCAGTCTCTCAATTTGATTGATTTTAACGTACTGGTTTACCAGAAAAAACAACTTGGATTCCCTGGGCCCTGCATGCTTGTTCGATGTGCTAGAATAATTACATAATTATATATATATAGATTAGATCTAGACCACCGTTGCCCGGCATCCTTCGTTGGTTCTGGAATCAAGCTGGCTTCCAAAAAAACAATATGTCAAACATGTCTACTGTACTGTACATTGAGTCTACATTGTGGCGGCGTTGCTTTTTTTTGCGGGGTGCACTGACATGAGGAGTGCCGAGGCACCACCGCGGCAAATCTTGGGGCTTTCTCAATGTCAAACACATTGCATCTAAGAACATGGCACAACTACAAGTAGACGAGAACACCAAGGGTAAACCCTGCATTTCAGGAACGTTATCCCCAACTGTAGCAGGCTACTAGTGCTTCATCCCTCAGAAACTCAAACCTCCTTCCTCACCCTCCACCGAAGGCCTCGCCTCGACCGTGTGATGCGAAATTTCGTTGATGCTCTCAATCTTCGACATGCGAGCAGCAGTGATTCGGTACTGGCAGTTTCGGACCATCTTTGGGCGGGTTTCGGGTTTCAGTCTGCAGCGTGTCTTTGCTCTAAGAACTGGAAACATGTTGTGAGTATCTAATGATTCCCGCAAGTCCTAATTCAACACAGGTTGCAACATGTTGCAAACCTCTAAATCGCCCATGCGACCTCCTGCTCCCAATGTCGAACGTGACCATGAACGCCTGGGAATGCTCAGGAAGGAATGCTCATCAACTCGTACTCGGTCTCTACATGTCTCAATGCACAAATTTCTGCAAAAAGACCTCACCTGTCATAACCTGTCCAGCGATTTTATGTGCAACTTCGCTGCGGATGTAGTCCCCAGCTTGAAATTCTGGACCACTGGACACCTGCATCGGTCTCATGGCCAAGTTTGTCAAGTGCTGCAGTGTTTCCTTTCTTGCGTTTCTCCTGAATCTCACCGTGTTACAACAGGTCATCAATGATGTTGGCTGTTGATTTACATATATACTGCTACTATAAATCTTAATATGTTATACGATACATCGGATTTTATGGAGATGAAATCAAAACCCGTGCTGCTAGGGGGTTATTGATCGACAATTAACCTTAAACATCCGGCATACGCGCATGCGCGCACCACAAGCGATAACGTGACACATCGGAGTGCTGCCCAGCTGCGGAGTCACTGGGTGCATACATCTGGCACTCCATGCGGCCTGTCCCGTCCTAGAAGTCATCTCCATGGGTTGCCCATGGCATTCTCTCATTCAGGTTATATAAGGTGATCAGATCCGTTCCAACGACTGAGAGCTGGTCGTTCAAGGAAACCATCATCCCCAGCTGCTGCATCTGCACCTTCTCCACCTCAAAATGATTTCGGACAAGTTCGGGCAAGTGCCAATGCGACAAACAGGAACAAGAAGCTACTAGTAACAAAGGGCATCGCTACGAACGGAGCAAGGACGCTACTAGGGGCGCTCCTGGCATTACTACTAGTAGCAAGAAGCTAGTAGGGGCTCCTGGCATCGCTATTAGGAGCAAGGACGCTACTAGGGGCTCCTGGCATTATTACTAGTAGCAAGGACGCTACTAGGGGCTCCTGGCATTATTACTAGTAGCAAGGACGCTACTAGGGGCTCCTGGCATCGCTACTAGTAGCAAGGATGCTACTAGGGGCTCCTGGCATCGCTACTAGTAGCAAGAAGCTAAGAACGGAGCTGAAGCTGAAGCGTCTCTGAGAAAGTAAACAAGTCGCTTCACTTCTCGGCACTCTGAGATCCCAGCACAAGCGACGAGAGTCAACATGTGCAGCTCCCTGCCATTCACACCTAAGGAGAACAGGGCGTAGGGTGAAAAATGACCTAAGCATCCAACTTGTCTACATCTTGCTTGGAGCTGGAATGTTCATGAACGTTGCAGGTTGGTGCATGTCTACAGCCCATGCAAAGCGGAAGAAATTGATTTCCTTGCTGCTGCCTTCAGAACTACCACCGCTGCCCTCGGCTCCGACTTGCACATTTGATCAGCTCTGCCACCCGACGGATTGCTTCATCAGGTCCAATGGTATTGCCACTCTGACGTTTGTCAGAGACCTCAAGCTTCTCCCAGTCAACATGGACATCGTGAAGTTACATCAGAATGGCTTGAAGGATTTGGTGCCAACGTGTGTCGCCCGCAAGCCCGGCAGGGCAGGAGCGAAAAAAAAATGATAATATGGCAAAAACCTCTCACGTGTGACAACTTGAAGCTTTGAAGCGCACCAAGCTCTGTAGCCCTTTCTTCTTGGGCATGTCATTTTTTTTCCAATAATTCTGACTCAAGTACCTAGCAATAACTTGACGTCCCGTCACGTCAGGCAAGCGGACTGAGTGCACTGCCCCATCTAGCAGCATTCGAATAGTCACTGGAGTCAAGGTATGTGCCTGCAGAGATCTGCGGGGTAGTACTGTGGGTGCTGAGCCACTCCCCATGTAAAAACCTGGTTCGGATTGGTGCACTAACCCCACATCCACACCAGCGAGAGACTGCGGAAACAAAGTGGAAGGAACCCAAAAGCGCAAGCCAAGAACTGGGACTCTGACCACTGCCTTCCCGCCGGAAACTCCACCTCCTGTCCATTGGGCCACGTCGAGAAACGTCCAAACCAAACTCACATGCAAAAGCTAGGATCTCGGCTAATCCCAAAACATAATGTATGAGAACTCAATTGAAAACTCTGAATGGCTGAGATATCTGTCAAATCGATTGGGGCATGTTCGATCTGGAAGAAGCTTTGCTATCCGAACAAACGATGATCAATGACTGTATCGTGTTGTCTTTTTCTGTGTTTTGTGCAGGTTTCTTTGCCTGAAGGTGCATCTTGCCCGGGGTGTGCCTTGGAGATGATGGGACCGCCGACGATTTCGGCGACTGGATTCCCGCACGATGGTCTTTACCACCGAACAAAACGAAGGATGTGCTTCTGCGAAAACCGAGGCACATCGTTCAAGAAGCCGGCAAGGCCCTTCAGGGAGGCACACTACAAAGAACTTACTGCTGTAGATGGCCGTCTCAGCTACTGCGATAACGGTGGCCGTCGTTCTTTACAGCAAAACGTTTTGCCAAAGTAAGAGCAGGATACATGTTTTTGCCAAAAGCAGGGAAGCCTCAAAGTACTGTCTCTGTCATTGGCTCAGTCTTTCATAGCTCTCAAACAGCATTTTGGAAGAGCATGTTCCTTGCAGAGTTTCGGCAAAGCTGCACCTGTGACGGAGCAGGATTTCCAGTTGCCTGAAGCTTGTGTAGAAAGTGGAAGGACGATGAGATAGATTAAATATGGGTCGCTGAAGTCATACAATAGTTTGGCCATGCATCACTCCAGCATCAGAAAAAAAAAAAGAAAACATAGAATCGGCACAAACTCTTCGCCTTATCTTATGGATGTTGAGATGAATTCAAAGCAGGAATGGAACTTTCCACTAACATGTAGTAAGGTAACTGAGGAGCGTCTTCAATTCACGCGTCTTCATTTCAATCGCACATTGGGCTCAAAGACGCCCGACACTCTTCCCGACCGGCACCTCCAGCGGAAGATCACTGCCACCATAACCGCCTGACACCATGGCGCCAGTGGGATCATCTGCGGTCGAATGTGCCGGAAGTCGACGTTCGTCCAAGGGCAGTGATAGTCTCGGAGTGGAACCTTGGCGGCCTTAGCATTGTTCTCAACATTTCTCACCAGTCTCAGTGTTAGAAAATCCTCGTGCAAGCACGGACACCCTGAACCCTGCTACTTACAGTATATTCCACCCCCCACAGAAGTCTGAGTCTGGATACATTCAATTTAAGCACATAAATCAAAACCTGCATGTCATGTATAACGAGCAGGGCTCTCAACCAATGTTCTGCCTTGTGCCCCACCAAAACCGCCAAAGCCGCCGCCGCCAAACATTCTCACCTGAAATCCGCCAGTGTCTCTTGTTGTCTGGCAAACGCAACCCGAAAGTGACATCTTGACCCATCCAAGCATCTCAACTACCAATCAACACTTGACGTTTAGCTTTCAGACTTGTTCACAACTTAGCTTCATAGTCAAAGGCCAAAGGGCAACGCCAAATGATGACACAAACACCAACTTCCAGGCCTAGAAGGGCACAGCTGGCCGCAAGTTTGATCTCTGATCTGGTGATCGCCAGTGTTGAATTATTGGATCTTGGTAAGTGTCTCTGTCTCCTTGGATATGGTTGTTCAGTTGTTCACTTCTCTTCCGTCTTGCCATTTGATCTGTGAAAGTACGTATCCCTCTTCTTTCTCCATGTCCGAGCCGGTGAAGCTTTCGAGCCGCCGGAGACCGAGCCAGCAGGAGAAACGTCCGAGAATCGTCTTCAACCTGTTCCCACTGGAAGAGACGAATGCAAATACCAATGAAGAATCCGGTTGACGCAAGAAGTCACCAAAACACGACAAGATGCTTTCTTCATGCGGATGTGTCTACACCTAGCACCCCAACACGGAAAGCAGCCAGCCCAGGCCAACCCACACAACCCATCAAGAGTCCTCCATCTCTCCTTGCCAGCAACCAGCCTGGCGATTCACTGATGCGCTCAATAAGAGTTGCAATCTTGCCCCAAATGGCTGGGTAATGTTTTCAACATCCATCGTAACACAATTACATGATGTTCAAACCTACCCATCCATTCTTCATACGTATCATTGGTTGTTGCTGGCTGCTTGAACTCAGCAGTCTCCTCAGGATGAGTGCTAAGTTTCACTAGGTCAAGTGTATTTAACTGAGGCTGAGATATTTCTCCAACAGAGCTGTGAACAAGAATGTATTGTTGGGCAACACTGCCAAAGCTTGCCGAACACGACTTGCCTCGCACTTTTTGCCTCGCACTCCAGATCGTCCCATACTCTGGAATCGTTGGTTTTGTTGCTTCGGTTGCGTCTCTTCGATGTGCATAATTATCCTGTTTCCTTTGGCACACGATCCAGATAAAACAATAGAGTCCTGCGTGTGACAGGCTTGCATACTGCCACCGCAGCAGAATTAGAGTCATTAGCCTGCCTGCAGAAGGCTTGCCATGAATCGACCCCGATTTCGTGGAACATGGCATCCTTCTTGCGCAAGTGGTGCAACTTGCGCACGTTGAGCACTATTTTGTGCTGTCCCTACATCTTCACAGCGAAGAGACAAAGAGACGAAGAAATCATGGATTCCATCCGACAAGTTCTTCCAATGCTTCTCTTTCCAGAACCAACTATGCCTGCCTTCTGTTGATGTGAAGACCAATATGGCACTCAGTGTGGCATACATTCCCTGCCACTCGATCAAACTGAGTGGTTTCCCTCGAGTGAAACAGCACGACGAGGCGCAACTCAAAGGCACCTTCGCCGTGGCGAAGCCATGGGTACAAATGTCTGGTAAAGACTAGTAAAGACACAAGACCATGTGATGAGTTGCCAGATTTCGAAGAAAAAGGGTTTCCAACTAGGAAGAGACTATGTTTGCCATGTGTTTGCATCACCAATCAACAAAATGACCACGAAGTCTTCCTTGCATTTCCTTACCAAAACGCAGAAGACTGAAAACCCTAAACCCTAAACAGAAGACTGATAAGCAACTTCCAGTCTGACAGGCAACACACACTGCCTGGGCTTTCAGTCACCACTCTTCGCGCGTGCTTCTCGCCTAAATATGATGCAATATGTAGGATCAAAAGCAAAGCAAACCAAGGCACAACATAAAGCAAAACAAGCAAGCCCCTACAAAACTATCATATGAATCACATGGCATTGCATAGCATCACAAAGCCACGTCAGAAAGTGTCACATTTCTTGTGCGCTTTCAGGGAAGATGCTGAAATGTACACTCTTGAATCTTCTTGAAAATCTTGCAAATTCTGCAAACGCCGCTCATGCAAAGGTCCAGACTTAACCCCGCGTTTGGACTCATCACACCACTCCTGTCAAGGGGTGCATCTTGAGCATGAGAGTTGATTGGTTGACCATGGTTGACAGGAAGTGCACAAGTCTTAAACATCCGAAATTCTGACATGTCTGACATGTGGAAAATCAAACAGTGAAGCATCGTTGGTTCCATCTTTGCTTCACCTCCCAGCTCTTTCCTGCGTGGCACAAGCCACGAAATCTCTTGCAAGCCTCCCAATCCACTCCCCTGGCAATGGCAATGTCGCCGTAAGGCTTCTCCTGAACCGAAATCCCAGCCAGTGGATCCCAGTTTTAGAATGTCCAAGGATGTGCAAGCCACCAAAAAAATGACTCAGCTGCTCCATGAGAAAAAGGATCAGTGATTAAGCTGCTGGCCTGTTCCAAAGACACCACCCCACTCATGTGAAGTGAAAGCAAATCCACGAATCGGCAAGCCGCAGCCTCAATGCGTCCAATCCCCCCAATTTCCAGAGCGCAAGGGACACAGTGACTACAGCAGAACCCTACCCGTCAGTTTGGTGTGTTTCCACGTTTCTATGTCGGTGATGACACCGAACTGCAGGTTAACAAATTGAAAACATCTGAAAAAACTGATGGTTGTTTCTGAAGTGGAGTGGTTTAAAGCCTGTACCTAATTTGTTCTCAAACCCATATTGTCATACAGCCCTTTACGGCCTCTGCTGTGCAGGAAGAGCAAAGATCCAAGAAGGACAAAGTATTGTCCTGTTTGGATGCCAAATGTTGCCAGATCGGCGAAGGTGTGTTGATCTGAAATATTCTATGTAGCAACAAGTGCATCGCTAGTAGTAACAAGTGCCTTACTAGTAGTAACAAGAAGCTACTAGTAAGGCACTTGCTCCGTTCGTAGTATTGAATTCTTGTTTCTAATAGCTTCTTGCTCCTAGTATAGGGGTACCCATTTGTGGGGAAATGAAGTACTTTGCACCATTAGCAGGGGTGAAAGCATGCCCATCACAATCCACCAAAACACCACCAAAAAAAACTATGACTCTGACCCAGTCTTATGACCCAGTCCAGCCCAAACCAAGGCTTGGTTTGTTTTTGTTTGGTTTGGTGGATCAGACCTCCGCTTCCTTCTACAAACAAGTAACAAAACAAACAGTGTCCCAAGTTTGATGCCTAAAACATAGTTTTTTTTGTGGATCAATCATCTCTTCTTCCTGCCCTTTGCTCACACTCCTCTGTTCAAAAATGTACAAACTGGCGAGAATATGTTCGCGGATTTGGTTCTTCCCAGATCTGGTTCTGTACCAGGTTTCCTTGTCCAAAAGGATTGGTTGGAATTCGATGTATTTACATTTTCCTGGACAAAGTCAGTGTTTCGTCTATTCTGCATATATACCTCTTTCTAAGCAAACATACCTTCCTGCCTGTAAGTGCATTTTTGCAGTTTGATACACGATCTAAACGCTAAACGCATACAGTTACCTCGCAGTTGTTCTCATTCAAACGCCATTTGGTTGCACTTGGGTGCAGGTGTTTTTGCTTGAGACATCTTGAGGCATTCTAATTGAAAGCTGCGCCTTTTGTCAAAAACATCCGTATGAAATTGAAAACATTGAGAGAAGACTGAGAAGACATCTTTCGGGGGGGCAAGCAAATATTTTGGAAATGAGTTCCGTTAGAGCTACAAATGGAAAAAAACTACTGTACAATTGTATTAAAGGTCTTAAACAAGTTTTCCCTTAAAGGGAGGAGGTGTCTTTCAGAAACAATGGGCTTCAAGGATGTGTGCATTGAATCCGTCTCCGCACCGAAATGGCGTTCACCAGGGTAACATTGGAGTAAAAAATGTAGTCCGGAAAATGTCAACAAACATGTGTCTACAACAAAAATGTTGCAAACATGAAGGCGTTACTACAAAAAACAAGTTCCGTTTAATTCCGTTTAAAGAACATATTTGCAAAAATGAAGGCTTGGGACTGATGATAAAGCGAGTTTAAATCATGGCAGCAATGCAACACCATGATTTTGTGCTGGTGCTCATGTGGAAGACTTTGCATTTGCGGTCCATTCTAATCCAAGGGTGGTGGACGCGTGATGCGCCTCGTCCATTCAAGTAAAAGGTCCATGCCATTGCTTTGGTGGCACTTGAATATGAGACCATTTGTTTAGCAGGGAAACCTCTTGTCAGTCTTATGCACATGAAGCTATATTGTGAAATCTGCCTGAAAAGTGCGCAATTCAAGCCACCGAAAGGGTTCCACCTAAGTATTTGATTTCGTGGCATGCCAAGAAAAGGAATACCATGTGCAGATGTCGTGGCGCGGGAGGGGATTGGCGCCTCCCCCCCAGCAGCCAACAAAACCAACCGCTGCAAAAGAATAACACTGCCAGGAAGTGCAAAAGAAAATGGTTTGAAGAAACAGTTTCTCGGTTAGCAAGGTGTGCTGTAGGGCTAGTTGGAAAAGAAGGCTCACCGGGTGAAAAGCGGGCTCATGAGTGCAAAGAAAAGGTCCTTGGGTTCAAAACGAAGCCCGAGGCTTGAGTAAAATTTGTTCCTAGAATTGACCCATGGGTTGTTCTTGAAGAGTGTTTTTAAGCAATACGCTTTTCAAGGATGGAGATGTTTCCGTGATTTGTTCATGTGTTTTCTGGAATTATTGTTTGCGTTTTTTCTCTGGGAGTGCTTTACAAGCATCAGGACCAGCAGGAAGGTCAGGGGGGCGAAGCAGCAGAGCCAGCGGGAGGGAGAGAGCGAGACAGTGACAAAGGGAGGGAGCAGAATAGGCATCCCACTTAACGAAGGAGAAGTGGTACTGTCAATGCAAAGAAGATAGTAGTTGTGGTACCTGTGGTAAGACTCGTAGTGGGGTGGTCGGGGTGATAAAGGCACTGGTGGTAGTAGGGGAAGTGGGAACTATTATAAAGTGGGAGGGTGTGCGGGGGGAGGGCGCAGCCACGGCTAAGCAAAGGCGGGCCAAAACCCAAAAGCAAAAGCAAAAAGCAAAAGCAGAAGCAAAAGCAAAAGCAAAAAGAAAAAGCAGAAGCAAAAAGCAAAAGCAGAAGCAAAAGCAAACAGCAAAAGGAAAAGCAGAAGCAAAAGCAAAAAGCAGAAGCAGAAGCAAAAAGAAAAAGCAAAAGCAGAAGCAAAAAGCAAAAGCAAAAAGCAAAAGCAAACAGCAAAAGCAGAAGCAGAAGCAAAAAGCAAAAGCAGAAGCAAAAGCAGAAGCAAAAAGCAAAAGCAGAAGCAAAAGCAACAGGCAAAAGCAAAAGCTAAAAGCAAAAGCAAACAGAAGCAAAAGCAAAAGCAGAAGCAAAAAGCAAAAGCAGAAGCAAGAGCAGAAGCAAAAAGCAAAAGCAGAAGCAAAAGCAGAAGCAGAAGCAAAAGCAGAAGCAAAAGCAAAAAGCAAAAGCAGAAGCAAAAGCAGAAGCAAACAGCAAAAGCAAAAGCAGAAGCAAAAGCATAAGCAGAAAAAAAAAAGTAAAACGTGAAACAACTACCCGGACAAAAATCCGAAAAACAAAGAGAAATACCGGTTCCCTTTTTCAATCCAGGATCAAAAGGTCTGCCTGCCTGCCTACCTGCCTGCCTGCCTTCCTGCCTTCCTGCCTTCCTTCCTTCCTTCCTTCAGATTACAGTATGTCTGTTGTTGATCCTGATAACATTTTTTGTTGATCCTGACAATGATGTGTTTTGATACCCATGCCTGCCTGAATCCTAGGTACCACGGGGGGGTAGCAGTATGCACATGTATCCTTCTCTCTTATACTCTCTGCCAAATAGTGCAGGACGTCTTCCTTCAACAGTGGCAGTGGTCACAAGTTGGAAATGTTCATTCTAGCTGCTAGGTGATGACCATTGGCCTAGATGACAACAAAACGGCTAATTACTGACTGAGCCTACTCACCTTCATTCCCTTGTCCTCCTCCAGTGAAGCCCGCAGCTCCCTACCCTGCACCAGGAGCGGAATGTCCATGATCACCAGATTCAGATGAGGCTGTGAGGTTAGTCCCGACTCAGTTGGGGAGATGTTGAAACCAGAAGACTGCGTAGCTGGCCTGCTTCGCAGAGACTTTGTTCAAATCAATTTCGATGGTCTCTTCTTGCTTCACCTAGACAAGATGCAGAAAGTCATTATATAGGCCGTGTGATGTCCAAGAGTTTCAAAAAGACTAGATGGAATAAGCACATGGAAACAAACATGTTCACTGCGACATCTGCGCCCAGACTGCGAACATGGAACCACACTGCCTGCGGAGGTGCCACTTTCACTGGAACCACACTGCCTGAACAATGACCGAAGAACACGTTGGAGCAGAAAAAGGAGATACTGAGATACTTCATGACTGAGTGGCCTTGGTTCTCTTGGGCTTGTCGTTTGGGAGGAGGCAAATCCACATGGACCTCGAAACAAGCGACAGATCAAGATCTCTCTTCATCAAATTCCGGAGCTTCTTGAGCCAAACAAAATATCAGCTCAGACTGCCGCCATGGAGGTTGCTTCCTTGGCTGGGCTTGCCTCAGGCTGCTCGGGTGCCTTGGTTGGCAAACATGCACTGCCAGGCTCTTGTGGATTTGACTTAGATTCTTCAGGGGTTCAGGGCCAGACCAGGTCATCAAGCGGAGGCACCTTGCTTGTCACTGCAATAGTGCTGTTTCTTGCTGTCTGTCGTTACAGCCCAGTGACCAACATGTGCGATGCAAGTGGCAAACATTCCGATTCTACCCCGATTGGGCTCCGAGGCGAGCGAGCCACATACGACAGCTACAGACCGTCTACATATCAAGGTCGGCAGATTTGCAGTTGGGATCTACATATTATATAAATATATTTTCTTTAAAGCCCGCTCCCCCTCCTCCCTACTTAATTAAGTTGGCGCCTACTTAATTGAGTAAGGAGAGGTAGCTAGTGGTAGATAGGTAGCTACTAGATGCTACTAGTATGGACGCAGGACAGCTCGCGCTAATGATTTGGTTCCTAGATTTTTTGGGAAACGTAGTGTGTGGCTAAAAATCGCGTATGAACTTTAGTCTTCTATACAAACCCCTTCGGTAGAGCCCTAGAATTGAGGCAAAAGCAGTGGCTTCGTCAGCGGGTCTTACTTCTGGCGGAAGTTCTGCCACCTCGGCTCAACTTCTCTATGACGGTACAAAGGTCAAGCATGGCTGTCATGGCAGCCATTACGGGGCCACGCCACGCAATCTGAAATTGATTGGGCACATATGATCAAATATTGGGTTAATGTTCATCAAAAATACGTCACAAGGAAGACCTATTCACTCTTCACGCCAGCAAACTTCCATTTCTGACAAGAGGATGGCCACCCTGCAAGAGAGCAACCAAAATAGAGGACCAGCATCAGAGAGTGGCAGAACCATTGACGAAACATGTTTGTAGCTCCGGGCATAATTTACCTCTCAAACCGTCGGTCGTGGAACTTTCTTGGGAACCCCTGCCGCCACTTCAGCGTCTGGCGCAATCGGAGCGTCTGCTACAATCGCTGACTCAGCATCCAAGACCTCTGCCTACACCAAGCGAAGTGCTGCCTTTTCAAACATGCAAAACCCTGATTGCATCCGCTGGGTCGTGAATCCTGTGGGTGCTGGTGCTGCTAGACTGGCTGTCAACTTGGTACATCAAGAGCGGCAATGTCTTAACATGTCTTAAGTCTTAACAATTCTTAACATCCTATGCCTAGAACAACTCTGTTTCTGCTTTGTCGGCTTGATGGAGATCTGCCTCGGATGGATGCTCATCTGGCGGAGCCACCGGTGCGTGTGCAGCCTCGGGCCAACCACATCTGGGACTCACACCACGCTGAAACCGCACCAATTTGCAAATTAAATTAATAGCTTCTTGTTACTACTAGTAAGGCACTTGTTACTACTAGCGTGGCACTTGTTTCTACTAGCTTCTTGTTACTACTAGTAAGGCACT